CTATCGGTGCCGTAAGGCCGAAGGGTCGTGGGCCCCATCACGATAATTTTGGGAGATGCACCCGCCGCCAACAACGCTGAGACTAGACCGCCTGAAGCAACCGACAGGTCAGCGCCTGAGTCTAGTAGCGAGGCTCGGACCGGTACGACACCATCCACCGTGGCCGTCAGGTCTTCGCGGCCCACCTTTACGGCGTTCGTACGCATCGTCGCTACACGACCACCAGGTGTTCCTTGTCCTCGGCCGGCGTCAGCCCGACCGTCACCACGGCTCCAGTCACCACGTTTTTGGCCAAGCGCCCGGCCATGTGCTTTAAGCAGTTGCACGGCTTCCTCATCCGTGATTCCAGGACACTCACGGACCTTGTGAGTGGTGGATTTACATTTCAAGCAGCCGCTGCCAGGCGTCGAACTAGTCGGTGCCTGAGGCGTAGATGGCGCCGGTGCCGCTCTCGGTGGCGCCTGCGCTGATGCTGGCCTAAATGTTTGGCCGTTTCCTAACGGCATCCTCGGTGGGTCAGGTTTCCCGGCCGGCTTCGCTTCTTCTTCGTAGCCGACGAAACGCTCGTGGCCGATGGCAAATTCACGTAACCAACCCACGAAACGGTACACGTCCTTCTTCAGGGGCTTGTTTCACGTCAGCGCCATCTGCTCCGTCACTGCCCGATGGAGTGACACCGGCTTGAACGCCTCCGTAAAGATCTTTACGATGGCAGCACTTTCTTCTCTAATAACCCACTCCTGGCGGTACCGGCGTAAAGCGGCCGCCATGCCGTCCAACATTCGCCCGATCCGAGAATCTGCGTCCGGGATCGACATGTCAAAAACCACCGAGGCCTTGACTTGCTTCTTCAGGGAATCCAGTGTCCGAGGGTCAACTTGAAATCCCAGCGTAAACCATGCCGCCCATTCGGCATCCGTTACCTCTTCCGGGAACTTCCCCATGTCCCACTCAGCCACGCGTTGTTTAGTCGCCGGCTCAATGCACGCACTCAACGGCATCAGAAATGGCCGAACGCCGTTCGCGGTGAGTATTCGTCTGGCTGATGTACTGGTTGTACGACGCCATGAACGCTAACAGTTCTTCCTTCGTAGAACCCTTGAACATTGGGTTCTTTGGGAGGGCCGGTGCGTTGTGAATGTATACATCGCCTTGACCCATGTCCCAATCTTCAGTTTCAGGGGCAGTCACACCGGGAACCGCCCCAGATGGTCCACCAAACGGCCACGCCTCGTTGACCGCCACCGGCTGGCGTCGGCCCTGTGGCGACCAGAACAGCCGATGAACAGTCGTCTTGCTCCACGTCTACGATCATCAGGTCGGCCAGAAAACTTCTCGCCGGCTACCGGACTGTCTGAATGGCCCGACCTTGGTCGATCGCCATCCGAGTCCACACGGTCGCTGCCAGGGAGCTCCGCGTCCTCTGCATGTACGCTTCCGCTCGTGGGTTGTTCCATGCCCCAAATCGCTAGCTTGTCAACGACAGCTAAAGCATTCCTTGTTGTCTGCACCGGCTTGCACAACCAGCTACCGTGCTCACGACGGTAGACTTCGATGACAAATCCAAAAGTGTCTTCATTACCATTCAGGTTATGTGCCCATCAACCAGCGAATCACTTCACTGTAATCCAGGCATCACAGTCAATACACTCAGCGTACCGAGGGAGGTTCGGTAAGTCCTAGCCTGGGCCTAATAGGATCCACAGAGGGACTAATTAGTTGCTCCCTCGGCGAGTCTAAAAATAGAACCCGACTGAACTCACTGTCAACTGCACACACACTTACACGGGTAGTTGATCCGAGGGGCGGCCGGGAACAGAAGCCAACGATATCTCGTGCATTTGCAGGGAAGTGCTAGAGGCTATGTGTGTTGGACATGCAAAAAGAAGTAGTTGCATCACCACTCACAGTCCTCATCGTTTAGATCTATACAGTCGTATTGGTGGGCAATCTCAACATAGTCAACATCTATCATGCCCTTCTGTGGCACCCTTCTACAATAATTCAACATCACAACACCTAATTGCATACACTCTCTCAATGTGAACAATGCAGTAGCACATTAACATTAGGGAGTACTAGTATGCAAGTAGGTGCTGTGCGTTGAATTATTGTGGCGGGATGTACAGAAGGGGTGCGCTGGCATTCCACTACGGTAGTACATAACATTAGGGTGTGCCATCGCTACAACATAAGCTATCTACATTGTAAGCCAGTTCAAAATGTCGTGACTGGCGCCTGTAGCCTCTACTTTCATGATATACGTGTGCAAAACCTATTCCATGCCGCTGAGGTTGACGAAAATCAATACACAGGAACTGTAAAACGGTATTTTATAGTCTGATTATACAGTAGCACCGGTGGGGATGCCCTTAGCGCTTACTTGTATATCCTGTCGCTGAGCCCTTTCATCACAGTCTCACCCCATACACGTTGCAAGCCATAAACAAACCGTAAAACTGCATGCTTGTATACATACACACCATTTATCTACATCGACATATAACGTTATCGCTAACTCGAATCCATGCCCAGTACATTAATGTACTGGGCATCGTTGTGTACGCAACCTGCAAACGCTTTTACTTGCACACCAACTATCGCAATGAGCCATCTTGCATGTAGTGTTGCTGAGAGATTCGAGCATCACAAGGCTCTCAGCAACACAACACAACATGCATTGTGAAATGCGCGCAACGCGCTGACCCTAGTCACGACGTAGCACATGCGAAGACTGATTCCCCGGGCACGATTGATACCCCCCTGATCATAATTCCCACAACGAGCCCCACAACCACCCGCACCACAGCGATCCCATCCTACGCGTTTGGTGGGTTATGGGGAAGGCCAGGACCATGAGAGTTGTTCTCGGTCGTTTCCTTGGAAGTTGGATCGATGATCCGTGGCATGCACATGCTTGGTGTATACACTACTTAGCTCCACGACACGGATCATCGATCCAACTCCCACGAAACCCACCCCGAACTACTCGTATGGACTACAGACAGATCACATCCTAACCTACCAAACTTCATGGGTTGGTCACGCGAGGTTTGATAGATGTTGGCCATGGCGCTTGGTTGCCTGTACGAGGAACTTAGGAGGCGTTCTAGATGGTCCGTACTGGATGGCGTGTCCGACATTATGGTGCACAAGGTCGGGTGTAGCTCTTGGAAGGAGCCCATGACAAGTCGCATGAGCTTCATTCATACTCACATCAAGAATCCCTCCTTCCACGACCAACTGCCTCCGGATATTATACACGGATAAGAGTCACATACAAAAATCAAGATACATCTCCCCTATGGCCAAATATCCAAGCACCCATGTAAAATACCGCTAGGTTAAATATCTATTTCTGGACCAATTCATCACCAAATCTGAGACGTAGAATTCCACTGGCTCTGATTCTCGACCCCAGCATCACTCACCAACCATGCCCACGGAAACCCACCCAGCGAGCGACATCGACCGCGCCATTGCGTACGTAAAGAAGGCTCGCTCCCGATACGTCTCAAAGAACGAGATTCTCGACATAATAATGGCCAATGCAGTTCTCCGCCAAGATGGAACACCGGCAGCCTCCCGCACAGCCGCCCGCCTAAGGCGGCGCAAGGAGCAACTAGTTCAACAAGTGTGGAAGGAGTTCATCCAGCGCGGCACCACTACGACCAAGCCCCAAGCATCACGGGACATGTCCCACCGCACACGACTGCCGGTGACGTCCGACCTGGCCAAGATTATTCAAGAATTCGTCCGCCATCGTCGTCAAGACCGACAACGCACCGTCGCCAAGGACGTCGTCACTTTTTGCGGTCTGAAAACCGCCTGGATTTTGATCCGGAATCGGAATCCTCCACGCAAGCCACGCAAGCCGCGTACACCGCTCGACACAAAGGGCGCTTGCGAAACTGGGCTACAAAAGGGGAAAGAAAAAGAGGGGCCTCGGCCTCCGCATGTCCGATGAAACGTGATATGTATGTTTCTGAAATGTGTGATGTTTTATGGGCGATGTCAACCGACGGCCTGTTATATATTTGGATGAGAGTTATATTCATCACCATTATAGCCGGCAGGATGATTCATTATTTGATTCGAGTGATGACCTTGATGTTGAAGTGAAAGTAAAACACAAAGGTGAAAGATTTTGTTTCATTGCTGCTATTCTAGACACTGGTTGTATGGATAGCCGACTCGTATGTTTAGATATATTTCAAGGGGGAAAACGAACTGGGAGACCTGAAACAAAGGACTATCACGGAATGTTTGACTATGCATATTTTGTCAGTTGCATATTTTGTCAGTTGGTTTACCAAACTTCTTTTAGAAATAAGGGGTCTTGGATTGCAAAACGCTGTTATAGTAATGGACAATGCAAAATACCATAAAGGTCTCCCTACGGGTACACCTAATTATGGACAAAAGAAGAGTGTCCTACAGAATGCTTGCACTACGTACGGCATTTCTTTCACAAAGGATACGAAAGCTGCACTATGGAAAAAGCTTAGTGTGTATGTCGATAAGATCGACATCGAGGTTGTAACGCAGGGCATGAAGTGGTTTACACACCACCTTACCACAGTGACCTTCAACCTATCGAGATGGTGTGGGCTATCGTAAAAGGCCAAGTACAGTGATATATACAATACAATGCTTTACAAATAAATGGTAGGTTGGACACCAGTACACACAAGATACCAAGTCCAAGGACGTGCACGTACGGTTGACGCAAGCTTTCGCTGAGTTGGCGGCATGCAGCATCAAGGGCTGCATTCACAAGGCCGATAGGCAGCTCAACAAGCTGGCCGAGTACATCATGGAGCAACAAGAAGTCGACGCGAGTGACAGCGACGATGACAACAGTGATGACGGCAACGACAGCAACAGCGATAGCAGCAGTAGCGAGTCGGACAGTTCAGAATCAGAGAAGTAACAATTTTTATCTCTTCTTATTGGTCGCATCTAAATATGCAGCTATGTTGTGGAAAGTCAGAAAAACTCTATATTACAATTCTTTTTTGGCAGGCACCCTCCAAGCTGTCGACTACTGTAAATATCTATTTCTGGACCAATTCATCACCAAATCTGAGACGTAGAATTTCTTCACCACATTGAGATTTGTCGATTCTACGTCTCAATTTGCTGAAAGTTTGAGTAATGACTATGAAATAGAAGTCCGAAAATTTTGTGCAAAGTTAGTAGTTTATAGATGACGAGCACCATACCTGTGGGTATTTCTTAAATACTTCGACATAGAGGGAAATGAAGGTCGCGGGATTTGAAAGCCTTTAATTGCCTGCCGCCCAAATTGCCACCTGGCACGTAGACTCAACCGCATCCACGGGACACACAACCAATTTCACTTCGCCATGGTCATGAACATCGCCTCCATGCTCGAGCGCTTCCTCGTGCTAAACGTCTCGGACCAAGTCTTCCTTAAGGACAGCCTGTACGACTTCGGCGATCTCGCAGATGAACAAAACGACGCACTGGCGTACGACAGCCCCGTCATTGAAAAGGTCATCGAAGATGGTGGCGTTGACGCGTTCAGAACCTTGACGAACTTCACTCCAACAGAGTTCGACACGATTTGGGGACTCGTGGTGGCCACACTCTTTTCTCGCTGGCACAAGGGACGCGAGCGCAAATCGACAACTACCCCCCGCGACGCCCTAGTCATGACGTTCGTCATCCTAAAGTACTATCAAACATGGGAAAAGCATGCCATGGACTTCGACGTGAAGGCTCCTACCTTGGACAAGATTGTGCTGCGCGTCGTCAAAGTTGTCCAACCATCCTCTACGAGTCATTCGTCACGATGCCAACGATGATGAACCTCCGCGAGAATATCAAGTTGTTCCAAGACTACCCGTATACAAAGTACACGACGGATGTCAAGTTCCAGCCAGCGAACCGTCCGACCGGCCGCTTTGGGGAACGAAAGCACTACTTCGGCGGAAAGCACAGGCTCTACGGTCTCAATATCGAAACGTCCGTCTCACCGGAAGGATGATATGAACATGCATGAACCTGGTTCTGTCTCGGATCTGACGGTGATCTGCTCTCGCATCGAAGTCCACGTCGCCGCCCTGAAAACAAATGCTGCCGATCGTAAGATCTATTACAATGGGGAGCGATTCCAAGCTTACCCGGACCAGTGGGCAATCCTTGTAGACAAGAGCTACATTGGACTCAGCAGCCCGCTTCGTGCTATCCACCCCCAGAAGAAACCCATCAATGGCACGCTGGACTGCCACGACCTTGATCGCAATGCCGCCGTGTCGTCGGACCGCGTGATCGTCGAGAACTTCTTTTTCCGCGTGTGTCTGCTTTGGAAGATCTCCTATGGTACGTTCGTGTGGGGAACCAAGATTTATGACGCCATTCTACAACTTACCTTCGCGTTGAAAAACTTTCACGTGTCCTCTTGCCGCTTCGTCAAGATGACAACAGCCAGTACAGTTCTGTACTTGCTCGGTACGCGCGCATGGCTGAAGAGTCGAAGTCCAAGCGTGCAGCCATCCAGCGCCTACATCGAGCACCGCCCGAACGCTTGGCGACTGCATCAGTACATTCCGCAGGTACAGCTCGTGCGTCGTTTTTGGCTCATGCGAACAATCGCCGCTGAGTACAATTTTATGTCACAGATTATACTTGATAATTGTATATAAACGCCAAGTAAACATTTATACTTTAATATATTTGGTTCTCATGGGAGTTACTGATCATTTCTGATGAACTGATCAGAATTTCTATCATTTCGGAAATATGATTCTCTTTGATCTGAAGTACTTGCGTTTTGGACTTGGTGACGTAGTTTACTTAAATACGATTTGTAAGATCCTACCACTGTCCGATTATGAATGATGGGCTATCCGAATGAGATATTATCAGCTGTATTGTCTAGAAACCAGACACGAAATTCAAAGAAAACCAAAATATACAAAGTACCTGTATAATAATGCTTACATTTCTAAATTGCAAGCCTACCACCCGCGAATATCCGGATAATAACCTTCGTATCCGGCTATATCCGGCAATTTTTGGCGCCAAGCTCTTGGTGGGCTTTGCTCACTTTGTCCAGTCCAGTCATTCTGAAAGATGCTCAAGGTGCAGAAGAAGAAGAACCTCACAGACAGTGAGTGCAACAGCATGGTTTAACACCTGCTGTTGCGGTACACCAAAGCCGGCAAGATACCTATGGGAGCGGCGGACGAAGTGGCTCAGTTGTTCGACTGCACACCATCAACTTTTCGCCGCATATGGCGTCGTGCGTCTGTGAGCCTCTCAGGAAGCAAGACCATCTGTCGCAACGTCAGCCAGCGCAAGAAGAGCACATGTGGACGAAAGCGCCTACACAAGGACCTGCCCAAGCGCATCCAAGCCATACCGCAGTCACCGCGATACTGGTTTTGCTCGTTAGCCAATTCCCTGGGCATGCCAAAGTCGACCCTTCACGACTACTTCAAGCGAGGCGTCTTTGCAAAGTACTCTATTGTTCTCAAGCCTGCACTTACGGAGCCCAACAAGGTGTGCCGCCTGAGGTGGGCACTCGACCATGTTTGTGACCGCGACGGCGCCAAGTTCTTTGACGACATGTACGACACCCTCCACGTAGACGAAAAGTGGTTCTTCATAACTCGGCTCCAGAAGAAGGTCTACGGAGCCATTGGTGAGAAGATCCAGCAGCGGTCTTGCAAGTCCAAGCATCACCTTCTCAAGGTCATGTTCTTGACGGCTGATGTCCACCCACGATGGGACGAGACGTGTGGGGAGTGGTTTGACGGCAAGTTGGGGACGTGGCATTCTACCGAAATCGTCTCAGCCCAACGCCGGAGCAGTCGGCGTGACGCTGGGACACCGGTCATGAAGACTGTATCTGTAACTCGTGAGACGTAGAAGGCAATGCTGGTGGACAAAGTTATACCTGCAATCCGCACCAAGTGGCCTCGCGGCGAGACCAAGACAGTCAAGATCCAACAAGACAATGCACGGCCCCACGTTCCTCCAAGTGATGTTGATGTCGTCTGCATGCAAGGCGGATGGTTGGGGCATGGAAGTGATGTTTCAATCGCCTAATTCACCAGATCTCAATGTCCTGGACCTTGGATTTTTACGCGCCATTCAGGCCCTCCAGGCCGAAAAACACTCGAGTAGTCTTGAGGAGATTGTGGCTGCCACCGATGCTGCCTGGGATGTGGTAAGTACCAAGACACTCAACAAGAACTTTCTCACCCTGCAGATATGCCTCCAAGAGGTCATTCTCAATAAGGGTGGGAATGACTATAAGATCCCACATATGAGAAAGAATGTATTGCATGCTCGAGGCAAGTTACCAGAAATGGTTTCTTGTGATAGAGATGCTTGGAGTTTTGGTTGTGCGTACTTAGTTGGTGTAGACTATTCTGCTGACATGCATAAGCTGTCACTTGAAATCCTACAGAGCATAGAAATGAGTGCATTCTGCACTCAGATAGAGGCGCTAAACATTGTCGATGATACGGACGCTGACGATAACCTCGTCGCGGCTTTAGGTCTTGTAGAGTTATCGTACGAATAAGGTGTAATTATCCGAATATAAAAATGTGCACTCTTTCTCGAAAATTCGATTTTCAAAAACGTGCATTCATAATCAGACAGAGGTAGTACAACAGTAGAATACTAGTACCGGTGTATCATATTTAAATGTATACGAATTACTACATCTTTTTGCGGTTAATTTCAGCTTTTTTCACTATATTTCGCTTAACTTGCAGTATATTTCACGACACCACCGATATATTTTGGTTATCTCCAATTAATTTCGTGGAGACCTCAAACTTCAGGTTTATATCACCAAGCCAGCAGTATAATTCTATCAACTATCGTTTAATTTCAGTTTTGGTCAATTTATTTCACCCAGCATCCGATTAATTTTGCCAAAAAACCCAATCATACAGGACACGACCTGTACCTATAGTATCTATCTAACCGAAATATATCAGTGGTCTCGTGAAATATACTGCAAGCTAAGCGAAATATAGTGAAAAAAGCTGAAATAATCCGCAAAAAGGTGTAGCATGTACTTCGAAACATTAATATAACGTTATACTAAATTTAGTATATACTAGTATATTAGAAGCTAGCACTTACTGTTCTACAGTACTATAGAACCCGGTAGCCTCAAGTCGCCGTGAACATTCATAACGAGAGCATCTCCGAGGGTTGAACTATTAATATTATAGTATTCATATCGGATGGAATTAGGTTTTCGAGCTTCAAATGAGACACCAATCAAACTTGTCAGAAAAGACTATCCACGAGTAATTCCTTGAGAGAAACAGATCCAATGTTACTTCCGTGATCATTCATCATGAAGTTCGTATTCTGAATAATACTGCGTACTACTCTGGCGCACAATAGTTGTCGCCTCCATTTCACTTGATTTATGTATGCCAAATCTTGAGTTTTCCGAATATACCTGTCTAATTGGATAAGAAGTATCGGATTACATAGGTAAATACACCAGAATCGGGTGATGGCAGGTCGCTTCCGAGATGGCTTGGTGACGCATGGCTGTATGCCAGCTCAGAGGTATGGTGCGAGCACGCTTTCAATGTATGACATGTAGCATTCAATCTATAGGTTCACTCAGCGGAGTACGAACTCTCGAAGAGTTCCCTAGTAGCAATAAGAGCATGGCGCGGATATCGCCGTCCTCCCATCGTTGGTGGAGCTACTGGACTACACACAGGCCAAACTGCGTTGCGCGCCCGTGAGAAGCTTTAGATGAGATGTATAATGCTACAGGAATCGAAGTGTATGTGAACTAACGACGTCTTCATAGCCTGGCGGGTGAAGCACCACATTTTGTTCTTCGCGTGCTGCAGTTCTGATGTCGTAGCATCAAAATTACGACGAAGTCAGAGGACCTGGAAATAGCCAATCAAAGAGGAGATCCTACTACGCTATCGATTGCACCAATCAGAAGCAAAAACGGTGAAGTATTACAAAAATTCCACCAATAAGAAATCGAACGTGACAACTATTATGCCCCAGATTAGTAGTACAGCAGTCTACTAGTACTACGTAAGCTTAGTACCCATCCGAGCGGGTTAATAGTACCGGTTAGTACTACTTATTTACAGAAGAGGTATAACGAAGGTTAATTCAATTACATGGCCGTAGTGAGCATTACAGAAGAGTCACGACCTACTGCTGCCATTCAATGTTGAGCATCATTGATTGGGTGTGGCTGTCAACCGGAAAACCAGGTATTGTTCCATCTGTTACTCCCCCTGTTTTTTTACCTCATTTTACTGAATTCCGCCGCCGCGGTGTGCCCACAGGGATGCGGCGAGTACACATGCTGAGTGGCAAGGCTGAAGCCCACGCGGGATCGATCGGCCTAGCGAACCTCCTCACTCCGGTAGGGGGTTCCATGTAAAGCCAGTTGGCGAGGCTTCGGTTGATGTAGCTGATCCTAGCAGGCCCTCAGGGGCGCCGCTTGTGAGCAAACCAAGTCTGTTGTGGGCATGCTTGCGTGCTCACAACAGACTTGTGGGTCATGTTCAGTTGTAGTGATCTTGACGCCAATGGTGTTGACTGTGAGGTGACCCCTACAGCTCACTAGTGCGTCACGTAACAAGGATACGCCGCTGTACACGATGATGCGAACTGGTGGGGCGCTCGATGGGGAGTGAACCGGGGGTGTTCCAGGCCGGTTCGTTCATGTATCAGACCGTATGGACCACGGTATTCGACGTCTAAAAAACGTGAGTCCCAATTGGTTTACTGTTAGGTATATGTTGCATGTATTGTTGTATTTATATGATTTGTTGTCGGCCAGTGGTTGGGGAACCTCCTCTGGACCGCGTGGAATAGTATATACTTCGAAGTATAATCTAGCAGCGCATTGACAGCTTCCCTTTTGCCCCGGACGCATGACGCTTTGTGAGGAGCATTAAGTTATCACAGTTGTGGAATCCTGCTTTGCCCCTGAGGTAGATTTGGACGTGAAAACAGACAGGTTGGTGCATGACATATAAATTTGTGATTTGTGTTTAGTTCATTTGTCCATGCTAACTTTGGGTGCTCTGTAGGAGGCGCAAACCAAGGAAGAAGCGGAGTTTCTCAAACGCAGTTCGCACGAGTCCTTTGGTGAGTATGTCGGCTATGTATTGGTAGGGTCAGCGTACCGTCAGCCATTAAGTCTTGCAGGAAGTGGAACCGAAGCCGGATGTGCTTGGTGCGCCCGTGGGAGGAGATACGTTTGGCCACTTGAATCGCGCTTTGATTGTCGTCGACCCACTGTGGTGTAGATGATGGGGCTGACTGACCAAGTTCACGTAGGAGTTCGAGCAGCCAGACGATGCTCTTCGCGGCTTCGGCTGCCGCGATGAACTCGACTTCCGTCGTGCTTTGGCCGACCAAGCTTTGCTTGCGCGACATGTAGACCGCAGCGGCACCAGCGAGCATGATGACGAAGCCGGTAATGGAGTTGCTGTCGTTGTTGTCATTTGCAAAGTTGGCGTCACTGTATGTGATAGGGGTGCTGCCCGTCGTAGTGCAAGCCCAACGTCGACGTCCCAGACAGGTACTTGAGGACACGCTTGGCAAGGCGCTAATGGGTCTGCGTGTGGCCGTGATTGTGTGTGGCCAGATATCGTACTGCGTTTGCGATATCCGGCCTTGTCGCTGACACTAGATACTGTAGCGCTCCGACAAGACTTTGGTACGGGACGTCGCGGGTGTTGGGCGCTTCAACGGACGGGACACCTTATGCTTGGGGGGTTGGAGCGGGATGGCAGCCAGCCATGTTGAAGCGAGCAAGTAAGTCTTGAATAAAAAGGTGTTGGTGCATTTGCAGGGTACACGCTTGGCGGTCCCGTTGAATCTTGATGCCTAGTAGGAAGTCCAGCTCGCCCTTGTCGGTTCCCTCGCAAATTGCCCTTCGATGGATGTTATGAAGCGCGCAAGTACTGCGGCGTCCTTCCCGGCCAGTGTGATGTCATCCACGTACACGGCAAGGTAAGCCGAAACTGCGTTGTCGGCATCGCGGAGGATTGATCCTTGTAGCATCGCTTGAAGCCGAGTGTGCAGAAAAAACATCGAGTTTCTTGTGCCATTATCGCTGCGCTTGTTTGAGGCCGTACAGCGCTTTCTTCAACAGGCAGGCTTTGCCTTCGTCTCCGGGTACATCAAACCCTTGAGGCTGCACCATGTAGATTGTCTCATCCAATTCTCCGTTGAGAAATGCAGTCTTGATGTCCAACTGAACAGTCTCCAAGTCCAGCGTTGCGATGATGGAACACAGGACACGTAGGGAGTGAAGGCGCATGACTGGAGCAAAGGTGTCAGTGAAGTCGACCCCTGCGATTTGGAGGAACCCCTTGATGGCGAGGCGGACTTTGAAGCGTTCGATCTCGCCCATCGACAGGTACTTGACTTTCCACACCCAATTGGACTTCAGAGCCTTGCGCCCCTTGGGTAGGTCAGTTAACACCCAAACATCGTTGGCTAATACGGAGGCGTGTTCAGCGACCATGGCATCTTCCCATTCTGTTCTATGTTGCCAGGTCCGCCATGGTCAACGGTTCGATTGGGCGACGCGGCGCAACTGCCTGCATTGCTGCCACAGTTTCAATGTGCTGCCTTGATCGTACGTTTCCTGCACTTCATAAGGGGTTCGTCTAATGTAGGCCTTGTGCGAGTAGCAGGTGCTGACGTGTCGTCGGGGTCAACAAATCCGACAGATTTGAGATCGTCGGCCGACGTGATTCCTGAGATCGCGTTGGACTGAGGTACACGTAGGTGGCCATGGGCAGATGTGGTTGGTCGTGGAGCTGTCAATGCCAGGTAACAGGATTAGTTGGATAATCTTTGCCACTTGTCGCATGGCGGTGTGGTTGAGCTTGTTGTGCAATTGGCGTAGCTTGTGTGGTATCCGACGGAGGATCGAGAGTCTTGTCGGTCGCCAGTTTTGTGCCGTTGATGCGTTCAGATGCTGCCCTCGGGGCCACGTCTTGAAGGACGTACGGGCTGTCAGACATTGCGAAGTGCAGCTCATCACCATTGAAACGGTGCAGGTAAGTTGTCTTTTCCAGATCGTGATGGCCAAACTGGTAGCGACAGCGAAGCAGGCGGACGTGAGAGATGAGGTTCTTGTAGATTGTCGGTTCATAGGTGACATCGTGCAGCTTCAACGTGGCGCGCTCTCCATTGCGTAAGAGATGGATCTTAGCCGTACCTCGACGTCCCTTGACGACCGCTTGATTAGGTAGGATCAAGCTGGACGGCCCCTTCGATGAGTGCATGAAATGATGGTTGCCGGTGATGTGGCCCGTGGCGCAGTTATCCAAGGTCTAATGATTCTCCATGACTCGCGTAATGTCGCCCACGGCCACAGAATTGACTTGGTATTGCGCAGCGTTGGAGTCGGAGTCACTGCCATCTGAGGTAGAACTTGGGCGAGGTTTCCCGCCATGTGTCCCCGTTGCGATTGCCCACCCCCACCAGTTCTTTTGTTGACATAGTTGGGGTCGTATCCCGGGTGCCCCTTTGCTTCTGGATCCCCTTTCTTCTTCCATATGTAGCACCAAAGAAGGCTGTCGTCAGTCTTGCGTCTCTTGTCCCTCAGCTCTGTTAATCGCGTTTTTAGTGCGTTGATCTCCAGCGTCATGTCCTCAATGTCCTTCGCCTCGTAGGTTCGCTTACGTTGACGTTCCGCGTCCCTTGGGCGATCATGGCACTCGTCATGTCGATTGCCTCGCTTCCTTTCGCGGCACTTGAGCAGAGCAATGGTAAGAGCTTTGCGTTTGACTACATGGCCAGGGGTTGGCTTGAGATGGTTGATGAAGGAGTTGTAGTTGTCCAGACTGGAGTCGGGAAATGAGATCAACAGCCACTCGACTACTTCCGACTCCGTTCATTGCCTTGCCCGTGTCAACCAGCTCGTGGATCTTGGCTCGTACGTAGTTATATGCTTAACCATGTCATTTTTCGAATCGTAGCACAGGCTGCAAAACCGGCGGAGGACATAGACAGTGTTTGACAACTCCTTTCTCTCGTAGTTCAACACCAGCGTACGCCGCATTTCCGCTGGAGTGCTGTCTTCGCAGATCATATCGAAGACTTCATTCGAGAGCGACTTTTGAAGGTACGATTTGGCCATGTTGGTTTTGTCCTCGTACACGAACGCTTTGACTTCCGCAGCGTCGTCAGGTATAACATAAGTCCCGTCGATAATGTCACAAATGTGGGCGCAGTTGACGGACGTTTGGAATTTTGACCTTGAAGGCCGATAAGTCATTTTCGTTGAACTTGACCTTTCGCAAAAGGTCATTGGCCCTCGACTCAACAGCCCGCAATCCATTGAGCTTGGCTGGTTCGGTAGGTTGAGTTCGAAGATCGTTGATTTCTTGTTTCCGCGCAAGGAGCTCTGTCATAGCATCGGCGTTCAAGTCCGTCGCAGAGGTCACTTGGAGAGGGGTTGCTAGCTGTTCAGTGTCATTGTCACCGGCGTTTGAGCGAGGGGCTGAGGGCGAGGATGGACATCCCGGAGATTGGGTTGGGTTGGCTTGGTCTTGGACTCGGACGACATTGGTTTCGGAGGTTGAGACTGTTAACCTTACAGAAGGCGTAGCGTAGGTATAATGAAGGTTAATTTAATTATATAGCCGTAGTAGGCATATACAGAAGAGTCACGACCTACTGCTGCCATGCCATTCAATGTTGAGCCTCACTGATTGGGTGTGGCGATTAATCGGATATTGTTCGATCTGTGACTTTTGAACCATATAACAGCACATTTTAGTGGTAAGCGATTATACTGTAGCTACAGTAACCTCTACTGATGCAACTTAAACATGGGGACGGGGGTTCCGAGGTTATACATGCCTTTCTTTTGAAGGGTGATGATTACGTAAGCAATAGTGACGACTGTTGCTTTCATGGAATTACTCGTCTGAAAACAATGTTAGAAATAAGTTACCGAGATCATTCCAATGGGAGACTGCCAAAACCTCCGCATACTATTTACTGTTAATGCAACTTGGACAGTGGAAAGCATAAGCGAGTGTTGTGAGCATTAACGATTTCTACTTGATACTACATAGTACTCGGTAACGTCGTTTCCTGTAGAACTCATGTATAGCTGAATAGTTCCGTCCGAAACCTCGCGAATTAACTCGGGTTTCAGCAGGATATCAAGAGGAATAACCCGGTCAACGCGAGTTACAGTATGTTCACCACTGTCCTTTGGTGACATTAGAAAGATTTTGCAACTCATCCCTTCACTGCCACGCCACTAGAATATGCCAAAATCGGCTTTTTTGCTTCAGTGTACTGACCAGTCAAATTTTGGTTTTGCAGACCAGTCACTACACTTATCCGGTTATTGTACGGATTCACACCTGCATCGTCCCGCAGCTCAGTGTTCAAACATGGTACTCGCACAGAAGGACCTCGCCCTCCTGCTTG